AGGCCAGGTACATTGGCGGCATACTCAGCAGAAAGGTTCCCGATTTCCGCCGCCGCCGCCGCCACCGCAGTCTCAACGGCGGCGGCGATGACGGCAGCGGCGACGGCGGCGGCGATGACGGCAGCGGCGACGGCAGTTGGCTGCCTTGTGGACAGTAAGGAGGTGGCTGTCTCTTCGACAGCACTGCCGCCGCCGTGGCTGCGCCGCGGCGTGGCGGCCTCGTGCACGGTAGGTCGGCCGTGTACGACTGAGCTTGCCGGTAGCTGCAGTGAGTGCAGGTACGGCGGAACGGTTAGCGCTGTCGCCAGCGGGGTTGCCCCGCCGCCGCTGCCGCCGCTGCCCCCTTGCTCCGAAACCACTGCTGTTGGCGTCAAGACGCCGTCGGCCCCAAGCACAACACTGCCGGTTGAGCAACTCACGACGGGCAGTTCAGAGGCCAACTCGCCGAGGCCGTGTGGCATTGCGCCTTGTGCACCGCCGCCAGCGCCCATAACATCTGGCCTGCCGTACACCGTGCTCACTGCCGCCGGATCGACGGCGGTGGCGGCGTCAAGGGCTGCCGCGTCAGCGGGTACAGCATCATCATTCATAGTTGGGATATCCGCCACATGGTCGTCGTACATCACACCCGGCAGTAGTTGACCGCGGCAGTAGTTGACCGCCTGCGTCAGCGGCGACATGTACGTCACCCTCCCGTATCGCACCGCTGCCAGAACCGCAGCTGGCTTCGGCTGCCGCCGCCGCCCCGGAATGCACCGCCGCTACTGCTGCTACAGCTGCTCCCGCCGCTGCCGCCGCCCCATGCTGCATCTTGATGTCGGTCCTGATGGGCCCTACAACTGCGTCAGCTGCCACCTCGTCGGTGACCTCCGAGGCAGTAGCAGCGGCCCCTTCAGCGGCGGCAGCCGCTACAGCCTCCTCAGCCGCCACAGTGGACGCGCCGCCGCCCAACACGGCTACTGCCCAAGCACCGGAGCATCCAACCGCCCAACACTGAGAACCCTGTGCAGCGCCCACGGGTGCAACATCGCCACTGACGGCAGTAGCAGCCGCCGCAGTAGCAGCATTGGCCGCGACCCCGCCGGGAGCAGCACCATGAGCACCGGTCACGGCCCCCTCGGCAGTAGCACCGGCAGTTGCATTGGAAGCAGCAAGGGCAGTAGCACCGGCAGTAGCAGTGAAAGCAGCAACGGCGCCACTGGCAACATCCCGACTCTCCCCCTCCTGCTGCTGCTGCTGCTGCTGCTGCTGCTGTAAGTCCAGGAGGCTCCCATCAGCAACTGCCTCAGCCGCCGCCATCGCTGTCCGCAACCCAGGCTCGGACTGCTCCGGAGTTGACTTCAGAAGTAGCTGTTGCTGCGGTTGCTGCGGTTGCTGCTGCAATAGCTCCTGCGATGGCACTGGCGGCAGTGATGACGGCGACGGCGGCGGCGGCGGCGGCGGCTTCAATGCCTCTTCCGTCTGCTGCGGTAGCGGTGAGTGTGGTAAGGGGGGCAGCGGCGGCTGCTGTTGCGGCGGCTGATCCAAGAGCTGTGTCTCCTGCCCCAGGCCCCGGTCGTGTTGGTGCTGCTGCAGCGGCGGCTATTGCGGCAGCGGTGGGGGCGGCTCCAGTACCTCCGAAGGCTGCTGCAGCTCTAGCTGCAGCTGCTTGTGTTGCTGCCCATTATGCTGCTGCTGATGATGAGTATGAGGCAGAGGCAGCGGCGACGGCGGCGACGGAGGCACGTGCAACGTTAGCGGCTGGTCTTGCCGCTGCAGTACTGCATCCGCAAGCTGCCATTCCAGCACCTGCTCCGCTGCCTGGCACCCCGCGACCCCCGCTCCCTGCAGCAGTTCGCCCGCTGCCTGAGTGTGCTCCTCCGCGCGCTGCTGCTACCTTTTCATGCAGAAGCACATACAAATATACGCAAATAACTAAAACAAAAACGCACGTTAAACAACTTGCCAATGTGGCCTCATGGGAGGTGACGGGACTTTGGGAAATAGCTACACGACAAAACACGTCAACAGCCGAGACAACGGCACGCAACGAGACAGACAGATAGATAAACTGACTCACAGACAGACAGACAG